GGCCAAACAGTGAAAGTCTATAAATATTTTAGATTGAAAATTTAAATTGATAAATTTAAAAAATCAAAATTTATTATGATATAAAACTAAAACTCTAAGTTGTTGTTATTGTCGTTGTTTTTTGTTTGTTTGTTTATTTACTTTTAAATTTTACTGACTATTTTTTTGCTCGTGAAAAGAACAAAAGGTGGCCCTCTACGGCTGTACGTGAATGTTAATAAGGAGGTGCTCAATTGGGAATCTTTACTGTAGTGTTGTCTCCGCAGCCAAAGTAAATAACCCTAATTAGCATGAATTATTGTTATTTGAATTATGCCATGAATACAGAAATCCATCATAAAATATATTAATATAAATAAGATTTTACTTAGGTGAATGGAGTTTATTTTCTAAAAATCATGTATGTTTGGTTGATTTTTCAAAAATTATTTTTAGATAAATTTTCATTTATTTTAAATATTTTTTTCTCATATTTTAGTGAAATTTTTGTGCTTTTTAGATATATCTAATCAATATGTATTTGAAAAGCCAAAAAAATTGACTTAAATATTAATAAAAAAATTACTAAAAATAAACGAAAATTCAAAGAAAACGTTGTGTGCATTTTTGTTTGTTTTTAGTGATTTTTTTTTAATTTTATATTTTGATTAATTTTTTTTACTTTTTATGTGCATCTAATCATGATGTATCTAAAAAGTAATAAAAAATGACTAAAATACAAAAAAGTTTAGTAAAGACAAACAAAAAATCATATAAAAATAATTTTTGAAAATTAAAACCAAACAAAGCCTTATATGTTCATACATATTTTTGTGTTCAACTTTGATATCAGAAATAACGTAGTACAGATTCATTCTACATATGAAGCTCATAATATACTCACTTGCCAATGAAGAAACGGGGGGCATGTGACCCTCATTTTTTGAAAATTATGCTAGTACCCATGAATACTAAGAGTATTTCTAATAGATCTCTTATACAATTATACTAGTGCCCCTCCTAAATTATTTTAAGGTACCTAATAATTTTAATTTTTCAAGAAGAACCCATATATAATATTCTAAGAAAAGAGTAACAATATACAAACATAACATTTGTACAAAAATTCTATACATAATGTATTGGCATACATCTTGTGATTTGTTCATTTTCTATCAAAACATCCATTATTATCTTTGTAATTTCACAAATAATATTGACACATCATTCTGATAAATTTTTTTATATGAATTTTGTGTTTGCAAATCACTTTTCATAAGAAAAACGGGAATATGTTCTTTGCCAATGGACTCTATCTCGCATATATTAGCACTCATTTTGTATTTCTCATCCATTCTCCCTAACTTTATATTCTTTTCAATTTTATTTAATTTTTTATAACACCTGCCAATGTTCTTTTCTCATCCATTCTCATTTTATTTTTTTTTGTTTGAAAATTATGCTAGTACACATGAATACTAAGAGTATTTCTAATAGATCTCTTATACAATTATACTAGTGTCCCTCCTAAATTATTTAAGGTACCTCATAATTTTAATTTTTCAAGAAGAACCCCTATATAATATTCTAAGAAAAGAGTAATAATTGTAATGCCCCAGCCCTTCACACGTCATCGATATTGTCCGCTTTGGGCCACGGCCGCACGGATTTGTTCTTCCCAGTGGGTCACCCATCCCAGAACTACTCCAGGCTAAGCACGCTTAACTGTGGAGTTCTGTTAGGGATTTCACCACCTGGGAAAAAGCTTCGATGCTATATAAGGGTCCAGGTTTTTACTTTTATAGCCCAGGAACTCCCCCTCCATTCCCGATGTGGGACACCGGGGCCTTACAATCCACCCCCCATAAGGCTGCACGTCCCCATGCAGTAGCCTGCCAGCTCGCAAGTCTGCCCGCATGCACCGAGAGACGCCAGGGGCCCACACTCAGTACTCCGGAGAGTCGGCTTTGATACCATTTGTAACGCCCCAGCCCTTCATACGTCATCGATATTGTCCGCTTTGGGCCACGGCCGCACGGATTTGTTCTTCCCAGTGGGTCACCCATCCCAGAACTACTTCAGCCTAAGCACGCTTAACTGTGGAGTTCTGTTAGGGATTTCACCACCCGGGAAAAGGCCTCGATGCTATATAAGGGTCCAGGTTTTTACGTTTATAGCCCAGGAACTCCCCCTCCATTCCCGATATGGGACACCGGGGCCTTACAATAATATACAAACATAACATTTGTACAAAAATTCTATACATAATGTATTGGCATCTTGTGATTTGTTCATTTTCAATCAAAACATTCATTATTGTTTTTGTAATTTCACAAATAACATTGACACATCATTCTAATAATTTCTTTTTTATGAATTTTATATTTGCAAATCACTTTTCTTAAGAAAAACATGAAAATATTCTTTACCAATGGACTCTATCTTGAATACATCAGCACTCATTTTGTATTTCTCATCCATTCTCCCTAACTTTATATTCTTTTCACTTTTATTTATTTTTGGGCAAATTACACTAACAGTTCCTATAGTTTGGGACTTGTGTCATTTTAGTCCCTAACTTTTCATTGTGACACATTTGACCTTGAATTTTGAATCTTGTTCCAAATAAGGACAATTAACTTACCATTGCTTAATTTCAAGGGCAAAATCGTCAATTTGATAAAATATAGACTAACTTGACAAAAATAAATGTCAAAAAAATATTTTAAAATTTTTAAAAATTATTTCTACCCACCAAAAAGAAAATTATGTAAAATTGATAAAAATTAATAAAAGTTACATGATTGATTTTTAAAAATTAATTTTACACGATCATCATCCAAATACATAATAAAAATTAATTTGGTAAAAAAAAAGAAATAAATGTCTAAAAGATTTATCAACTTTATATAATTTTATCTTTAGTAGGTAGAAATAATTTTTAAAAATCTAAAAATAATTTTTAACATTTAATTTTGTCAAATTAATTTATATTTTATCAAATTGACGATTTTGCCCTTGAAAAATCCAATAGTATCTTCAATTGTCTTTATTTGGAACAAAATTCAAAATTCAGGGTCAAATGTGCCACAATTGAAAAGTCAGGGACCAAAATGACACATGCCCTAAACTATAGGGACCGTTAGTGTAATTCACCCTTTATATTTTTACAATTATTGAAATTTGTATTTTTTTATGTTTCTTTTAATCTATCTTTTAATAAATAAATAAAAAAAATTCCAAACATATATTCTAATCATAAGTGATTCTATTTAATTCATTTATAAGTATTTATTGAGTTTTGTTCGTAGTAATAAATATTTAAATTTAGTAACATTCACTTGTTGATATGAGGGGTAAAATGTAAGTAAAATTACAAGACAGTGGCAAGTGAAAAAATTATTTACTAAAAGATAGGGGTATGGACAAGTGAGAGACAAAGAGAGTGAGAGGGGTATTTGACATGACAGCTGATGAGAGAGAAGCTGGCTAAAACCACTGTCTGTGAGAGTTACTTAAGAAAGAATGTGAACCGACCATCTCAAAATGAATAACCATGAGATGGTCAATTTGTCAAGATTAGGTTAATTGAAGGCATCTCCCTTCGAGTTCAGGCTTTGTTTGGGAAATCACCAAATAAGGTCTCCCTCCCAGATCAGGCTTTGTTTGGGAAACTGCCAAATAAAGTCCCGTTTGACAAGATGATTAGGGCTAATTCAGTTCATTAAAGGATAAAATGTTATATTTAAATCATAATCATTTCACTTTTTTTTTTTTTTTTTTACAAAACTACAAAAAAGTCAAAAATTCATCTCAAACGGAATTTTTTTTAGTGAAGTTAAAATAGTTAAAAAGTCAAACTAAAAAAACTTTTCCCAAACGAACCCAAGCTGCTGATTGATTTATTAGTTTATTTCTATAACATTACATCTCTATTTTTCTGTACATCTTTTTCATAATAAGCAAAAAAAACTAACTTACAAGACATACCCAAAATAATCGTAAGTCAGTCCAACCTAGCCCATTAACTTTAAAATTAAAGACCAGCCAAAACTTAAATTTAAAACTTAAATTTAAAACTTTAAATCTTACTCTTACTTCTTTATCTTCGCTCAACAACTTGAAATTATAGTAGAGAAACGTAAGTTACTAACAAGAACTACAAGGTTGGTTTATGTATTAATGGATGACTAACGCAGGTGAAGGTGTCGTTTGGTAACACTTACGTTTTTAATTTTCTGTTTATATTTATAAAAATTTTAAAAACTCAAATAAAAACTTATTTGATAAAATTTTTGATTTATAAATCAGTGATCTCAGTTTATAAATTTGGCCAAAAAATGAAAACACAAAAATGTGTTTCCATTTTGAGTTTTCATTTTTTTTTTTACCACCCAACACTAGTCACCACCCACCATCATTTTCCACCATCGTCTTCCGCCACCACCAGCCACCACCCACCACCACCACCACCACCTACCACCACACCCACTCGTCACCACCACCCACCCCTCGCCGTCACCACCACCACCACCACCCACCTGTCATCCACCCGCCACCAACCGC